TTTTGTTTTCTCTGTAACAATCTCACCAGACATTCCATAATGATCTTAGTATACTGCTGCACTTTCTGAATCAAAGTATGAGTCCATGAGCTTAAAGTTCTACTTTCCTGCTAGTCTTTAGATTCCCATCATTGTGTATCTGTTTTGTATCTAATAAAACTCCACAGCAGCTGCATCAATGTCTTTTTTATACCATAAGGCAAGATAAGACGTCAAGGTCTCCTCCTCATGAGGGATTCTCAGAGCATTGTCCACGAAAGATCCAGAGGGACCTTGATGTCCACAGCTTCCAAACACTGGGCAGAATTACTACCCCACAGCCATGCAACCTGGGGACAAGATGTGACTCACAAGTCTCTCCAGACTTCTACCAGCAGGAAGGGGAGGAAATAGAGAAAGAGAGACCCAGAAAAACTCACTGAGAATGTGAGATGACCAAAACTTATTCAAAGGAAGGAAGGAAGGAAGGAAGGAAGGAAGGAAGGAAGGAAGGAAGGAAGGAAGGAAGGAAGGAAGGAGAAACTGACCAACAAACCTTAAGGGCCTGAAAGAGAGTTAAGCTAGAAATAGACATTCAGAAGAAAAAAAAATCCTCATTATAAATAGACACGAAGACCATAAAAGGGGAAGTGACCTGTCCAAGGTACAAATTGCAAATATTAGGATCCAGAGTATTATGTTGAGGCACAGTAGGGGCTGTGCACTGACACTATGCACCTCTGTCCTCTAAAGAAGATGCCATTTTCTTAAAGTGTAGCAGTATGAGCCATCATCCCAAGGTCGGTACAGAGGAGCAATGCTGGAGAGAAAGGAAGATTAGAAACCCACATATCTACTAAGACATCATCAGAATGTGGCACGCGGAATTATACAAGTAGAATATTAACAATCTAAGGGACCATAAGTACAGGCTAGTCAAACTCTCCTATTTTACAGACAAATAAACGGAGGCCCAGAGCAATAAAGGCATTTACCCAAACAGTCACTGGCTTGTTGCAGCTGGGCCTAGATCCAGCCCTCCTGACTCCGTAACAGTTATTAAACTAAAAGTGGTGTAATTTAGTTCCATTGTCATCTAACACACTGACAATGTCCTGTATGTTTTTGGTCTCTATGTTTTAATACTCCTTGGAAATGATCACTTTTGATATTTTCTGAACTGGGCATCTGTGAAAACTGGATTAGTCTTCCCTTCAAGGCAATAATTGGCGTTTCTGATTCTTAGTGCGCAAAAAATGTGAAATTAGGC